GTAGCTTCTATAGCTGTGGGTAGTTGTCGGTATATTCGTCCACTTCGCGTTGACATAGAATTAATGAATAATACTGTGGTATCAGTTCGGCTAGTGCACCATTGTTATACCCATCTCCTTTTATTCCAACAATACAATCAGAAAAAACAAAAAACCTCCTCTTGTAGAGAAAACCTCACAATATATATACGTGAGAGAGAGAGAAAGAGAAAAGAATCTGAACACAATGAATGTAGCTATGATAAGAGAAGGAATGATGACAAAGAGAATGCTATTTGGGAGATCCATGACTTATGTCAGTAATGACTGACATAACAAGTACTATTCATTTTTATTTTGTATTCACTTACATATGTCCTTGAAAAGCGCTAATAACTGGCCATCCATCTCCTCCCCCTTTCATAATAGAGAACTCCTACCTGGAGAGTTTGATATGCAGAACGTGATAAAACAGACCTTCGTTTTGATTAATATTGAAAAATTATTATAGGAGACCGGTAATCGATCGCATCAAAGAATATGGCGGCCAATCGACTTCCTTGTGGAGAACTTCCTTGTCCTCGGTGTGGCAAATGTCGTAGTTTTGAGCATTTTGCTGCTGCTATTTATGTTATTCGTACTCGTTTACCTGGTCTTAATGTTCGTGATATTCTTACTAGTTTTGCTGCTGATAGTCCTATTGCTCCTTTTCGTGGTCCTCTTGCTGCTTTTCGTGCGGTTGCTCTTGCTGCTATTACTGCTGCTGGTGGTGGTGCTGCTGGTGCTCTTATTGCTGGTTTTCTTGAAGCTATTGATCGTGCTGGTGGTATTGATGATGCTCTTGCTGCTATTCATCCTCCAGGTTTTTGCGGTTGCAACGCTTAATAGCGATAAATACGAAAGAATTGAATAAACAACTGCCGTAAATATCGTTTTTTTATATTTGATTTCAAACACAAATAAATTACAATATTCGAGTAAGGGGTGATTTTACAAGATAATTCTAAGGTTCTTGCGACGATTGTTTCGATCCTTGGTTAAGGGATCACCATCAGGTACGTTTGGAATTAAATCGATATGTAAGGTCGGCTCAAATTAGACGAAGGAGAGACATTGTTGGTGAGATCGTGTTAAATGCGCATAGTGAGTGAAAGATGTAGTATTTGGGTTGCGTTAAATATATATCTATAGTGAAAGTCTTGTTTATGCTTGTTAATGACTTTCATCTTTGAAGAATGTGATCGTTGTTCAATTTGGGTTGGTTAGTCGTTCTGGTAGCGCATGGAGGAGAATTTTCAAAACAGGTTGGGATATATCAGAAAAAATTGCATTGATTTGTAAAATCCTGTGTTAGAAAAGTTTTTACATGTATTTATCTATATTCTATTAAAAAGAGCGTTAGAGAGACTTGGCCGAATAGTTGGTATAGAGAAGATTCTATAAAGTTTCTCAAATGAGACAAGCTAATGCTGTGTAGACATTGTTTTAATATGGATCTGATAGGTAATCAGCAACGAAAGCTGTAGACGTCTTATCTCTTGAACATCTAAACTATATCCCACACGATTTCTCTATAATATTACCCAGTTCTTGGTTATCGACATATCTGATAAATCTCACCATTGAGCGCAAACTACTTACGAAGGAATGTTTCCAGGTGACAAGTCCGCATTATATAAAACTTTTACAGAATATATTAAAAGGTTTAATTATTCGTGGCCGGTTGACATGACCGAACCATCTCAAACGATTTCGTCTTATGATATTTTCAATTAGAGGTTGGCCTGTAAGCTGCAAAATTTTCTCATTTGGCATTCGATCACCTAGATTGAGCCCCAGGACAGTTCTTAAATATATACAATGTGCTTAATTTCTTTTCTTGTGCTACCGTTAGTGTCCACACCTCATTGTCATATAAGAGAACATAGATGACCGAAAAAGAGAGTGGGCTGATTTCTAACCTTTTGCTTTAGAACATGTCTGGACGAAAAAGTCCACTTCGTTAACCAAAAATTTCTTTCTTGGGATCAAAATATAATCCAACCACTAAGAGTACGACGAGATTGAAATTACATCTGAACAAAAAAAGAATCATTACTCAAATCAAAATCTTTAAAATGTTATACGATTGAAGCGTGTGAACTAATGGTTAAGACGAAAGTTGGAGTCGGTTAGCTTTTAAATTTATCATTTCTTTTTTTCTTTTTTCTTCCAACAGTGAATGGCCGGTAATAGAATATGTTCAATAAGTGTTTCATATTTCGTATCTGATATTTGAGCTATGAAATATAAAACACTATAATTTGGAACGAGGCTGAGTAATGTATTTAATTCAATAAAATATATATATATATTTTTAAACTTTATTTATTTATTGATGAAACAAATAGTTATAACTAAGACAGGTCAGAAGAGAGCAAAGCCCCATTATTATCGTCCTGCCTAGCCAATAAAATGAAAAAAATACTAAGGAAAATAGCAGAGAAAGAATGCAAATATAATAAAGATAAGAAACAGAAAGAAGAAAAATATATTTGTCCGTCTAAGATTGAACGACAATCAATTCTTGCTATATCTCTACAGCCACGATAAACACAACAACAGCAAGAGCAACAACAAGATTTATCATCACCAATACCGCTAATCAAGAAAAATTTAAAAAAGAACAAGAACAGCTAATAAAATAAATGACAAATAAAAACAACAATCATATCATTCATCAATGTCAACGAGTTTATCGCCACAAAGAAAACAATGCGATAGCAAAATTTATTTTCAACATCTGAACAAAAAGTGGAACAAAGAACGGTGTATTTTGCGCCCAAATTATAAACTAGTGGAGAAGTCATAAACAACAACAGAACGTCATTTTTGCAGAAAACCTGTGACCGAGATTCTTTCTGGATAGCGAGTAGTTGAGCGTACTGCATTTACATGTTACTAACAACAGTTTATCACTGGGTAAGACATTCAAAAAAAATTATGCTTTTTTGACTGTTTGGTTTCTTTTAGAAATATTTATCTCAGTTAGTGAAGCATGCAGCAAAACAAGTATTACAGGGATTTTATTAATTATGGTGAATGTCGTTCAATGAAATCAACAAGCGTATGAGAAACGCATCTGTCATACTTGATACAAGAATTTGCTATAATTCTCGCACTTAAACATTTAAGTGAAAGCTGAGTGTGGATTTTCAACAGATTTTTTATCTCGTTTGTTTTTGCACAGTCCCAAGCTGTTTCACCGTAGTTGTTCATTATATCAAGATGAGCACCAGAATTAATTAAGTATGTAGAGATTGTTTCAGCATCAGCGACGTTTTTACTACCAACTATGATATGTAAAGGTGTATTTCGACAGTTGTCCAAACCGTTCACATCGGCACCAGATTCAATCAATAACCGGGCAGTTGATAAACAAGGAAAACTAAAATGAGAACCATTCGTTATCAAAAGTGTCTGTCGAAGCCTTCGTCATTCATTTATAAGAATGAACTGCTGAACCATTTGATCATTTTGGAAAAAACTCATTAGGGAAAGTTACGAATAAGAAATTCCAGGGTATGCATTTGACAGAGATATGTCGATTATTATTAAATAATGTTTTTCCTGCATTTGATTACATGTCAGGGACGAACTCAAATCTCAGTGACTGAATTCTTGGGTTTCCCGTTGATTGTTAAAACATTTTGCTCTTAAAACCGTATTGAAGATCCGAAAACATCTTTATTTAATATTTGTCAATAGAGCTCACTCGTTTACAACTAGCTGAAAGCAGTTGTAGACGAGTGAGCTCTATTGACAAATATTAAATAAAGATGTTTTCGGATCTTCAATACGCCTCATTAAGAAAGCTTTTGGTTGTTCTTTAGAGTTTCTCGAAAACTGGTTTTCCAGAAGACCGGTCTTTGAAGGCCTAACAGCAGCATTCATGGTGATATTTGTAGTTTTTGAGATATGTAGCTCTCAATATTAGTGATTTATGTTTACACTCAAAGTTGTTAACAGAAATCAAAATTTTTTTGACTTCAAGTCTGTGTTCATGGTATCAAACAGACCAGAAATTCATTCGCGTCACTATCAGTTATGTTTTGATACTGTCGATGGATCACATCAGTTAGGATACATTCGACCAATTTGGCTTAATGAATTCGACGAAATATTGCCGTCAACTGATGAATGGGCAACATACATTCGATTACCGATAAAACTCGAAAGGAGAGGCGATCGATTGAAGAGGAATTTTTATGAAATTCAAGCAAGACTCTTACTATTTCTTAATTGTTTACGCAGAATTGAAATAGTTCGTCAAGAATCGTCAGACAGTCAAGTGTTTACATGAGTCGATCGTGCTAATGGACAGATTATTGAATTGCAAGAAGAAAGGACAACAACGACCACTATTAAAAACTTTTGGCTTGTTGTCAGGAAAATTATTCAAGTGCCAAATGAGTTGAAAGTAAAATATTTATTCTCATCGATGTATGAAAAGATTCAATTGGTTTTTTGTTATTTAGATCAAATTGCGTGATATCAAATGTGAAGTTGATTCGACTACAATTGCCATTGCTTATCCATTGAATGGCATTCAAGAATCTTCGCTTCCACCTCAGCAACCTCTCTTTGCTTATCGCCCTCTTCGTTCATACGGTTTTCGTTTCATTTTCCAGGCCGATTTTGAAATACCGGCTACTCGGCAAGAAGTACTTCGTGATAACCTTGGAATGAATGGCTCAAATCTGAAATGCTCGACCTTCTTCCATTGGCCTATCAGAAATTCCAAAATCTATCGGAACTTCTCACCTTGGTATCATCACTAAAGGACATCCACCAATATTTAGCTATTTTGAACTTTCCTAGTCCGAGTGTTCGTTTTCCATCCATATCCTGAATGTCTGCATTTTTCCAAACCTTTTCGATTTGACCAGAAAGTCGAACAAACTTTTGGATATTGCAGCTCATTAGCAGACTGTAGGAGAGGGAAAATGCTGATCGATTTATAACTAATTTTCCAAAGCGATACAATAGTACACAAGAAGTCAATTGTTTTCTATAATCCGTTCATAACAAAACGAGCACAGTGGAAAAGTCAGAAAATCAACGACTTTTGTACCAAAGTTTCTCAAAAGCTTTAATCTGTCCGCGGACTACCACCTTCCTGTTCACTTTTATTCGTTTTGCGTCGACCCCCTTAATCTTTTGATAAATGTTCTTTATGAATGACGCGTTCGTCTTCTCTTCGTTTGGCTGACGATCTAACACCGATTCAAACACTCAACTATTTCCTCAGACTTATTCCAATTCGCGGTAATGAACTAGATTCATATTTCAATGCATTAATAGATAAGAGCATTCAACTTCTAATGGGCATCATTCAATTTCCTGTCGCTATCGTATCTCAAAGTGATGAAACTCAAATCGAATGGGTTCCACCTTCCAGATGTGTCCTTGTACANTCGTCTTCTCTTCGTTTGGCTGACGATCTAACACCGATTCAAACACTCAACTATTTCCTCAGACTTATTCCAATTCGCGGTAATGAACTAGATTCATATTTCAATGCATTAATAGATAAGAGCATTCAACTTCTAATGGGCATCATTCAATTTCCTGTCGCTATCGTATCTCAAAGTGATGAAACTCAAATCGAATGGGTTCCACCTTCCAGATGTGTCCTTGTACAAGATCCATTCATTCGTAAAATTCTCTCACAAGATTTGCTTATTTCACATTTTAATAGTTATTATCTTCACAAACAACTAATACTCGAATGTGATGAACAAATTCTAATAAAATTAGGTTGTCGACGACTTGATCTTCCTGCTATTACACGACTTATTCAAGCATTATACAAACAGCAACAAGAGCATTCAACCAAGACATCGAGCATTGAACAAAATGAGTGTCTATCGACGATGATACAAATAGATTTATTCAAACGAACTGAATTTGTATTTTAGTTGCTCAATGATTTCTTTGTCTCGACTACAGTCTTCAAGAACAGAAACAAATTAACAGAGCTTAGGATAAAGATGAAACAACAGAGATGAGAACAATGACGGAAATTAAACAAATGAAAATAATTCCATTACGCCAACAAACACGATTAGTATCGATTGATGAATTTGATGAACGAACTCTCTTATTTCCACTAGAAAAGGTGACTAAATTTTCTAAACATATCAAACTTGTACTTGTTGATTTACCAACAACTGACGAACAATTATTCGATTATATTGAAGAAAATTATCCACGAAGATTAGATTCAATGAAACGATTACTTAAAAATCTAGGTGTATGTGTTTTTATTTGTTGTGTTCTATTTGTTACTGATCTGAAACAATTACAAACTAAAATGGTCATTAAAACACGTGATAATAACAAATTTGTTCAACTCGGTGGCGATACAATAGTTCATTTGACTACACTTTATGGATGTACACGATCACTTGAAATATTAAAAGATCAATTTATATTTATTTCGGACGATTACTATAAACTTTATCGCAACGAATTATTTCTGACCGATAATGACAAATATAAATTTGTTCAGTTTCTCAGAGAACTCAATGTTAACGATTTTCTACAAGTACACTTCATTGAATATCGTAAGAAATTATTGTTTGAGGTTAAAAATTTAGTTTGTATATTATCTTTCCTTCATTTTAGCTTTTGCCAATGTATATCAACTGGCCAACACAAAGTGGACATATCTTACTTCAAAATTGATTAATTCGATTGGTAGTGATCAAGAACCATTTGTGATTAAGGATTATCAATGCAATGAATCTGATAAACTTGTTGCATCGGCTGATATCGATTTATGTGCTCAATTACTTGTCTCTCTTGATCGTTTTCATCGATTTATCTCATCCTACTATACGGCTTCTGTTGTTTTGTCTCATGGTAGTGGTCAATATTCACCTGCACAAGGTGTCGAATCTTCATTTTGTCTCTCCGTCCGACAACATGTTTGGATACCTGTTGTTGGTAATCAACTACTTAAACCTGCCGAGGTTTACTTTTTGCCACAATCGAACAACAACAATGTGCCATCATCATCCTTCTTTTGTCGCTATGTACCTCATTTAGATTCAGCTAAAGTACCATTGAACGATAATGATTTTATTGACAATATACTCGTACTCAAAAAACAAGTACTGCCCATGACTATGTTCGAGCTGTTCATGAAATGGTCATGCAGTCTTGATAGTGATACTTTATGGCGACTTGTGAATGCGAACAATGACAACCCTTACATGTAAGAATGAATACAACACAGTAATTACATGAAGATAATTGTAATATATTTTAATTCTAGAATTCCATGCACTCTTCTTCCATTATACGCTCGTGAACCCCATCTCGATACAATCGACAATCTTCGTCATATCTATCACTTTCTTTTGTCTGACGTTGAATGTCGTACACTTCTTGAGCGATTTCGTTTATGGCCACTTATCTTTGTTCCATGTGATAAGAGTAATGGTAGTTTTTTATTTGCTCATCAAGTCTTTTGGGATGATCCAACTTCATTGTTATCACAACGTACAACTCAACAACGTATTCCTATTCAATCATTTTATGGTGACGATAATAATGCACAATTACAATCATTCTTTACTGAAATCCTTCATGTAGAGCTTCGACCGACACTTGACGATTATCTTCCATTACTACTAATGATCGATCATTATCAAGAAAACGTTACGTGGCGTCTTACTGAAGTAGTTGCACGATTAACACTTGAACAAAATAGACAAATCGAAGTGAGAGAAAAATGTGCCGATATTGCTTTTATTCCTTGTTTGGGTAATGAAAAGAAAAATGTGAAATATAGTGATCAACCATTCTATCCCCACTATGACACAATCATTAACGATCTTTTTTCGGATAAATTACGAATTATCAAATTATCAGGTAATTTAATTGATAACTTAAACCCTAATTTTCTGGATTTTTATTTACAGATGATGTCAAATTGCTATCGCAATTCGAACATTGTTTTTGTTCTCTCTTTCAAATTCAACGTCTGGTCGATATTATTCAAGTACTTGTCAGTGTTGATAATGAACAACAATCTGTTGAATTACTTGATTTCTATGCTCATTCTATTGATTTAATTCAATATTTTCTATGTTCAAATTCACTCATATCCGATACACGCTCACAACAACTTGGTCATGTTTTTGCTCGAATGAACTTTTTTTGTGTCGATCATATTCAACTTTCTTATCGATATCAAATCATTGATATAGCTCATCGACCATCACCTATTCTAGATGCTTATATCGATGAATTATCGAGCAAATTTTATATTTTGAAAAAATTTGAAAAATCAGATTTGCGCTGTATTCGTACAATGGTCAATTTTCTTATACAAGACAATAATAAAAATGGCCAAACGGCACGGTCTAAACTTTCATCATATATCGAAGGTTTATTATATCATTATCAAAATGAAGGCGAGCAAGGTCTGGCAAAACGACGAGAATCTGTCGAACATCAATTCAAATGGATAATTCCACAAGCGATCGAAACTAAACAATTTTTGACGACTCCAACGCACGAGCAAGAACATCAGGTAGAAGAACCTAACGAGCCTGTGATCATTACAATCGACATGATCGAGAAGTCGGGTTTGAAAAACAAGCCCGTTCGCAAGTTACCTAAAGCGCGACCTAAAGAGCCGGTGTCCACCCGTTCAAAGTGTCGTCTAGAACATGATGACGAAGATGAACATGTGATGAACGACCTTGACCAAGGTGAAAAAGATTTTGGTGAGTTCGTTAAAAAAAGAGATGTTATCGATCTGCTAAGTTTTATCTAAAGAAAAAATAATGAATTCAAGTTTAAGTTTAATATTGCATCCGTATACATGAGCCCCTACTTACTTCGATACACCGGTGATTCGGAAGAATGTAACCTAGTAGACATTGATCTTTCGCATCGACGAATTCATTATTGTCCTACAGGTTTTCAGTCTAAATATCTTGGGACATCGGATTATGGGTGAGGGAAAGTTTAGCTTATCTTGACTACGGTGATGAAGAGCATTGTCTCGGCCGAACTTTGGTGATAGATCATACCATCGCACTGAGCACTACGTGTAATAGTTTCAGCATCAGTACACATTGTTGCATCTCTGGGTAAATCAATCCTAACTGTACTGATAGGGAATTTCGACATAGAATGCTCTTGTCACTTGTGACACCGATCGTTTCCAGTCAATACTTTTATGTGTGATTCAGAACTTCTTTCCATTCGATTTTTTAGTCGAAAAACTCGAATTATCAAATGAGAACAACAAAGCTGTTCGATCTACTCGATCTCGTCACACGATCGACGTCTCAACTCGACCACCGACTCGCTTTCATCACATTCATGTATCCACTCTTACTGATCTTGTTCTCTCTTCACACCGTTACCTACTGCAAATTCTGGTGATGATGAAGCCAGTAAAATAACAGGCCGTCGAGGTGAGGAACTTGTTTTTCAATATCTTAAATGGAAATATCCTGATGATAATATTAAATGGCTTAATGATGAACAAGAATATTTTCTACCATATGATATTGAAATTATTCGAAAGAATGAAAAGACAAAAGAACTAATTGAGGTTAAAGCAACTCGTGTTTCTGATCAACATACATTTCAAGTATCTATTCGTGAAATTAAATGGTTACGTGCTCATCCAAATACATATTATATTTATCGAGTTTATTATGCAGAGAATGATCCATTCTTATCGACAATTACAGTACTCAGCCGAGTGAAATGGCATTTACAACAGAAACAACTCTCGTTATGTATGAAAATTACAGAGCAAACGACAATCTCCGGTGATTAATCATCATGACCTTTTTCAGTATTTTTATAATATTTTCGTCACACTATATAATATTTTCTCACCCTCACCTACCACGGATCTTGTTGGCCTCGATATGTTGACGAAGTAACAAGTCAAATTTACATTTCTCTCTCTTCCACATGCATTCATTGATGTGAATAGAAATAATCGCGTCCGTGGTTATACACACACACACACAGTTATCAGCAGGAAGTTTGATGTAAAGAAAGTCCTGTTGCTACGGTAGTGCAAATCGATAATTGTGCATTTTAACACTTTATAGAAAGGAAAAAAAATGCACATATATATGAGATCATTTTCAACTCAAACATGATGAACTCAAGCATTTATCGTACAAACATGCACACACACACACACATATATTTTATAATGTCAAAGGAAGAATACCCCGTCTTTCGGCCACCATGCGGTGCCGAACGTACCTTGGGGATACGTATCAAGCAACTTAACCACACAGTCATAGCAGTACGAGAAGGCAGACATCAACAGGTGTTGAGCTGAGATGACGCCCTATGTGGCTCAAGTCATCTGTGCACAGGGTACGTTTATCATAAATCACACTGATATGACTGGTTCTTTGTTGTCAACAAACAAGAGAAAGAATTCTTCTCAGCTCTCTTCCCTGCATCAACACCGGCGGCGCGGAAGAGACAGAGCAAGATATTAGAATAACCCAGTCAACAGCGCGAGATTAACAAATTGCTGGTTGTTACAATTGAGCAGAATTGCAATCGATTAAAAAAACTGGAATCGAATCGGATCAGTTGATCATAGATCAGCATCCGATCGGTAAAAATCCGTGATTTTTCGAAGTTTTTGCAGTTTGCGAAGAGAAATCTAAATTATAATAGCACTTCAACTCACGAAGAAACAGATATAGAAAGAAGGAGGAAAATTAATTTAGGGCTTCTCCTGTAAATTCTGAAACTTTGCAAAGAAAGGTCGTGGAGAACTGGGAAGCGTCTCATTTTGATGCAGAATTTCCAGGTTACAATCTCAACATGTTGATAAAGCATTGCTAGGGTTTCAGAGCATTTCTAGAAAACCGGTTCTCCAGAGAAACGCTGCGAAAGGTCTATGGTCACAAACGACTATGATATTTGTGATCAGCGCCCTTGATTACATATAAATTGCTAGATTTGAACAAAATCGAAGTGCCTCACTCAGGAATGTTCTCTCGTCAGAAGACTTTCTGAAAATTTTAGAAATATAAAAAGGACATCTGTCGGCGCTAATTTGGGAAGTGTGTTGACTTTAAAAGCCAAACACCGAAAGAGTAAGAGGAGGCGTGCAACTATCCACATACGAATATGAAATCTTTTCTCTTTTTCACATTTTTTGGATGAAAAATATCGGAAATGCTTTTTTCAAAAAGTAAATCGGCGAATATCGACCGATTGAAAAAGTTATATGAAGTAAACAGATATTCATAGATGTTCAAACAGAGTGACTGAGAAATATAGTAATTTCTGGGAACTTTTGTACGGATGAATTGTTGTTTGTTCGTCCTGAGTTTGCTTGAAGTTGTAGAATGTTGAGGCATTCCTAATGCATGTGAGGTAGATGTTTTCGGTTTTAGACTCTGACAACGTCTCCGTGCAAAATCTATTTCATGATAGTGTCTTCTGTACTGGCGAATAGGCCATCGGTTAACGTTTTTAGCGCTACATGACCACTTATTCTGTCCGTAGCATATTTCGCATACAAGTAAATACACTCCGTGGCTCTATCAAACTGCTGTACTCAATCGTGAAACTTATGTACTAACTTCAGTTCCATCTGATCTGCGCCATGCAGACGCCAAATATCACTTCTTCACATGATGGTTTTTTAGAAGATCTCTGGAAAACCTTTCAGAAAGCACTTAGTATTTTTGATTTTGAGGACGGTTGTGTATTGGATAGACACCAGCAAATCCATATTTTAAAATTTTCAGCACTGAGCGTATTTCTAAACGGATTTTGGAAGGATCGACTTTTTGTTGGAAAGGTATGAAAAATCTAAACGGTTCTGAAAATCTTGTTTTTTTAATACCAGTTAAATCTAAATTTTGCTCAGAATTCAGTGTTTTACAAAAGTGTCCTCGACCGGTGTAGTAAATATGCGTCTTTCTAGAAATAGCCATCGCTCAGGTCCCTCAGTATCCGTAATGCTATGAATTCTTTTGTGCTTTGACCGTATATATAATACCTTAATCTACGTAGTTTCGCTCTTAGATTACGAATATGGTATTAAAACTTGTTAATAAACAATAACAAGCACAAAAAATCAAGTTCAAGCCGAAAAGTAGGTAATTATAGTGTACTTTTTACCCAGATCGACGTGGGTGGATAGAGTTCACACTCACGCAGTTCTGGCAAAGATAGAATTTGGTTATGTATCTGGTTTAGATTTTAGAAGCATTTTACTGTATACATATAACATGAACATAATCGATTTTTTTTAAAAATTGACATGTTTCTCGTACAAGAACCAACTGCTAATGTCCATAAAACAATAAATCTGTAGAGCGCTCATCGCTCTACACGAATATGAATAAAAACACCTTTGGTTAAACTTCATTACGAAATCCTGACCTTTGCTCTAACGGCAGGTCTATTCTGCATCAAATTCGTTGGAGTATCCCGATCTGAGGAACCACAAGAAATCAGCCCAAACCCAATACACCCTTAGATCCGTCGTTAAGAGCTATACAAAACCTGATATATGACCCATGGATTAAAGATACGTTTGAAATCTGACAGAGTCCTTTTAACATATGCTAACGATCTAATTCATTACTTACAGAAATATCACTGGCGTTATTATTAGAACCGCTGGAGATGTTTTTCTTTTTGTTAAATACGATAGATTTTATAATATAATATACAAGAACAATAAATCAAAATACAAAGCAAGGCCCGCTTCATGGTAAAAAGACAAAAAAATAAGAATAGATTTCAGTAAACTAATCTGAATGAACGATCTAAACAGTAAAGAGCGAGGAGAGTGGGATATAATCTGTCTGCCAGGGTGAATAGTTGATTTGCAAGAAAACGAAATACACAGCGTTCTCAGAACAGTGGTGGGCATATGCCCTCCTCAGGCAAGTATCCGCTTTGAATGATTGTGGGCAAGCGTCCGACGTCCAGTTGTTTATTGGGTAAATTTCCAGCTGACAACTGGCTAAGATTCCTCCTTCCTGTCACTGTATGAGACGGGAGAGATGTTTTTGGACGGTATGGTGTAAAAACCATCTGAGCGGTAACTACATCGAACGAACATTTTTTGTGCTATCCCGTCAGTCTCTGATAGCAAAACAGTTCCACTAGATAATATAACAAATAGAAAATAAAGCTAAAAAAGCCGGGGGGCTTTTTTGTTTTTTTAGTATTTTCAGCACCGGCTTTATCAGACGGGCATCGAGTTTTATATATTTTTTTGTTCTTTTTACATCTCCGGGGCGTGAAACACGCCATGATCATATTTTGTAAAGTGTCATATAAGCAGCTACACATTTGAAATTGTGCAATTACATGGCGTATTTGTATGACATGTTTGTGTTTCAAGAACAGAAAGTGAACAGATCATAGATGTGTGTTTTAACCACGAAATAGAATATAGAAATAGAGTAAAAATAGAATAGAAATATAGAAATAGAATAAAAATAGAACTTTAGAGCAAAAAAAAGGAAGAAGTGAACCTACTTCATCATTTTCTGTCTGTACATATCTTTTAATTAATCGAAACGTTTAGTTAAGCAATTAAAAAACCACGAAACAAAATAAATAAATAAAAGATTTATTAAATATTCTCAACTGCGTACATAGTAAACTACAAAAAGCCAAGACATGGATCTCATCCAAAATATTTGTGGGGCACTTGTTGTCGTCGTGTTATCCATGAGCTGCCAGTTTGTTTCTGCCGTGTTTTATTATTCAATATGATTGACAATATGAATGTAAACAACGAAAAGAACGATTAACAGTTTCTAGTGAAATCGGCCCAATTAAATTATTTTTTCAATGAAAATGATAGAAAATTGTGTCAGAAAGTATGTCTAACTGTTATTTTACTCTAATTTTTATATCAATCGATGAAAGTTTCTTTACGCTATCAGAATATGCATAATTTTTAAGAAAAAACGGTGCCTTCAGGTGCAAATCGTCGAAAAACATTGTACCAGTAGCAAAACTAGACAGTTTTTCATAATATTTTGTTGATTTCTCAAAAAATATCAGCTTTCATATAAAATAAATAATACATTCGTAATCAGCATCGAAAACTGAGTCGAACTATTGTTGCAATGATTTCTGACAAAATATTTTTTATCGAAACTTTGAGCCCCGGAGGGCTTATCCATGAAGTGAAAATTGGAGTGAGACAACGTAAGATAAAGAAAAATTACAGTCATAACATGGCTGATGATTATATGAGTTGATAGCATCTGAAAAGTATTTCTTTGAGAAAATTTTTTTTGTTGCATTTGATAAGCAACTTTTGTATATATTCCAACAGTACGTTTCACGCTATATCTGCTGATATATAAATAATTAAATTTATTTTATTATGATAAGAAAAATTAATAAACACGTTTCCGATACCACGATCCTCAAAGTCTAGGCTTTGGCGCGCTACTAAACTCGTAAAGTACATTCAGTCTATATTTCTTTGTATACAATGATCTCTTTTAAGATTCTGGTTTCTAGACTGTTGATATAGAGTTTTGGTCATCAACATTTTGAATTGAAAAAAATACCTTATATTACTATAGGTTAAATCAAGGTCCATCAATACATTATTTATCTTCAATGCTTCAGCGATCGCCATTGCACCTTGATCTGAAATATTATTATTGGATATACCAAGCTTCGTCAATGTTTGATTTAGCTTCAAAGCTTCAGCGATCGCCATTGTGTCTTCTGTCGATGCTAACTGATCATCAAGGTATGAAGAGCGCTCTCGGTCTAATTTTAGTTTAGTAACAATTGTTTCAATATCTTTCGACAGTGCTTTTTTGTTATCTTTATGCGCAGTTATTGTCGCTGTTTCTTCATGTTGCCGGTTGTGCTTGGATGCTGTGTCAGTGTCGGTTTTTGTTGCTTGACTGATTCGTGCAGTAACTGAACCTATGAAAAAGACTTCGTTAAGCATAAACTGCTTTTGGCTTTTACAAAAACCCGTTATGAGGGCGATGATACAGACTGCTGTGTCTACGTAGAGTTCATGTCAATCTGCACAAAGTATATTATGATGTTCGACAACGCTTCTCCTTCAGTTAATCTACTTCCTTTCATTTCGCAATGTGTGGATAGAAGTTTTCCTTCTATCACTTTCTCTATTTTACTTCATTATATCACTGATTTAGATATACACTAGCTATGATATAGTTGTTGTTGTAGATATCACTTCTTCTTTTCCATCTCTATCTTACTGAAATTGATTCCGAATTCTGGAGATAATTCCTTTTCTTTCATCATGACATGTATGTCAATGTCAACAAATATTACTTCGCTCGCCTAGCCGAGTCGTCATTCTGAGGGTTTTCTCACCCTCATCCTCACCGTCACCCTCAAAACTACTATCCACACATTGAGAAATGAAAGGAAGGAGATTAACTATAAAATTATACGCGAAACAGTTTAGTATTATAATAAACTTCTCAGGATTTAGAATAGGTTATCACAGACATAGATAAAATTTCAAATACAATTAACGAACATGGCTTTTGAGAACAATAAGACAATAGTCGACGTATTTGATCAGCCACCTATTATTCACGAACTACCACTTATCAGCTCGACGGCGCCAACACCAACAACAATCACGACAGTTTCACAACATTTTGAAGCCACAGATACAGCTATCACAACGTCTTTCGAAAGTAAAGTAATAGAACCGCAAATGAAACCAGTGACAGACACTGAAGAAAAACCACAGTCAAACTGTTCGGCAAAATCAGATCAAAATACTCCAGTTGAAGCACCAAAAACTCTAACTCTGCCTGACACTACATTAACAACGGCTAGTAACAGCACCATGAGTATGCAATCGCAATTACACAATCAAAATACGAATGAAGAGAAAATAAGTAAGATTATTAAAGTTTTAGTCTCCGCTATTCGGCAAGTTTTTAGATACACCCCTGAATCTACTGACATGCTATAGACAACGTCGACATGTATCTCAGTAAATGTATAAAGTAACTGCTCCATCCTGCAGTCTTTGCTGAGTTTCTGTATATGTTCGCTAGATAAAAGAACCATGCGCTTCTCATTGAACTCGGAAAAAACTTTGACAGAGTAGAGCAAGTACTTCTCGCTTATTACACAGCTAATTTACACATTCAGATAGTAGCAAGTTATTCGATTTACTTGCTAATAACCAATTCCTTCTTTGTAGTAAGGGATGCTGTCAAAATTATTATCCCTTAGATTGCTCAACCGCTTTCTCTTTCGATAAAGTTTTTCACAGAAGACTCAGGGAGTGCATTGGGGCTTTTTGCTCAACACAAGCGGACAAAAGAAAAGAACGCTACTATGATCATATAAGAGATATTTGATCTATTGATCAAATTCTACTTATTAGCTTTTACTTTTGTTAATTTTTCTCGTCGTACCAGTACATTGAAAACTTTTCATTATGCGTAGTTTGATACACCAAAACCAACGAATACGAACAAAAAAGAAATAATATCAACAGTAACAACGAAGAAAAACGATTTTCCATTAATAAAAACTGTTAAAAATGTATCAGATCGAATATCAGAGAAAGTAGAAGAAATACATCAAAATTTACATGATCCTGTTCTTGATTTAGATAAAATACCGTTAACTAACGAAGAATTAAAATCAATTACTAATACTTTACTATACAATACAACTAGAATAAAAGTGAATTTAACACAAATACAATTAAAAGGCGACGGTATTTCCTTAATTACTGAATTGTTAACAGCTAATCAAACAATAACTGAACTTAATTTATCACGTAATAATATTGAAGATAATGGTTCAATTGAAATAAGTAACATTTTAAAATTCAGCAAATATTTAAAAATTTTAAATATTGGCTCTAACCAAATATCACAACAAGGAATTCTAAAAATTGCTGATACATTGACAACAAATAAAATATTAAATTCTCTTAATATTGAAAGTAATCCAATTGATAATTTTGGAATAAAATATATTTGTCATGCATTATCATCAAATCAACATCTAACTACACTTAATATATATGGAAAACTGAAATAAATAATGATGGTGTGGAATTTATAGCGATTATGCTAACTAATAATCAAACTTTAACATATCTCCAAATGGGTTGTAATAAAATTGATGATAAAGGTATAAAATTAGTTGCTAATGCATTAAAAAAAAATAAAATATTAAAAAATTCATTAATTGGATACTGTGAAATTGGTACAAAGAGTGCAAAATATTTAGCTAAAATATTTCAAACAAATTCAACATTAATGGTACTTGATTTATGTCATAATCAAATTATGGATGATGGTGTTATCGCAATCATTGATGCATTAAATTTAAGTGATTATAGTTATATCATATAACTATAGTCATTTAAATTTGCGAAACAGCATCCTGTTCGCAGAAGAGTCGTTAAAAGCCACCACTATCAGCAGAAACTCATCAGTAAAAATGATGGTACTTTTAATGATAGTGAAAATCGACAAGCTTAAGAAAATACTTTTTTCTATTTCTTTGTTGAAGGAACAAAATAGATTTTTTTTGAGCCTTCGTAGATAAATTCAGAAAATTGAAAGATAGCCTACGCCTTAGCTGGTAAAATTACCTATCGAACGAATAAGATATAACTTGTAATCTTCTGCTGTGTAGTTATTTCACACATACTTTTGGACCAAAAAGCTCGCTCTTGGTACTTTTCAAGAACGAAAAATAAATTATTTTATGTCAAGCTATTATCGACTGATGTCGTCTAAATCATTAAAAAATACAGTTCTGAGCAATATTCAAGTCACAAAAAAAAAATAAGTGGAAAATTTATTTTTAGATTTTCCTATAAACTTTTTGGGGAGCTGAACTCCCCCTGTGGTTACGCCACTAGTGGTAATCTATTGACTTTTAATGTTGAATTCATGACACAATTCTCGATTATCTGATTTATTTGATCCAGAGAAGGCTGAATGAACAGGTACAACACAGTATGGCATGGCTACAAATTTTTTTTCTATTTTGTCATTTTACGTTAGAAGGTTATTTGTTGTTTTTAATGTATTGCAGAATAAAGAGAGTTTAGACTTATAACAGACCGGATGTGACGTAAATGTTTTAAATAATAAACGATAAATCTGACGGTTTGCCGAATAGTCAGTGAACCCACTTTTAATTGTTCATGCTCATCAGACCAGAACCATATGTGAGTCTTCTCTTCATGATTTCTAGAAAGACTCTGAGACTTTCAAAAGTATATTCGTAGATAGCTATAGTTTTCCAAATGTGTATCCTACTATTTTCTTGGTTTTTTATCTTAGTTCAAAAGTAAAATACTTGGCAATAGGACTGGCAGCCGTTTAGTTCTTAGATCATTTTCTCTTCTTCTATGGGTGCAAACCGTCAATTATTGAAGAATTTTTTGAATTTTTTTCGAATTTCTCTGTCATATATAAATTCGAGTGTTAAAGATATCCGCTCCCCTCTTTTTTGATCTTCTTGAAAATTGGAGAAGACGATGTTTGGTCGGGGTGAAATTTATACCAGAGACAAAACATCGAAGAAGAAAATCTATATCAATATTCTTGTCCAGAATTTTCTGACATATACTTCTATAGGTTTTCTTTCGTAAAATTCTACTTTTTAAAAATAAAAAATTTAAAAGTTGTATTTTTCAACTTAAAAATGAAGTTTTGCGAATTTTCAAAAATTTCTCGTTCATATGCCAGATAATACATTTTGAACAACTATTTTACCCATACTTTTGTTTTAAAATACTTCATGGCTTCAAGACTTGTTTCACAACGCTTTTAAAAATTCCACTGGACACGTAAAACTTAAATTTCCTTTCAACCTTCATCCGAAACGATGAAACCTTTTTGTGTAGACAGTTTAGTGTCTTTAATTTAAAAATTCTTTTTTAAGTTTAAGAATCGAAAAAATTTTAGAATATATATTTCAAAGTATTCTCTATAAACTGGGCAAAAGTATCGGATTTGAGCCTGCTCAAGAAAAGCTCGAACGAATCTTACAATTTTTTACAGAAAAAATATTCAATTCTTAATCGTTCTTATTTTAAGTTATTCTATGAAGATTCTACTAAAAAGAAAACTTGACTTGTAATAGAACTGTTAATCATTTTGTTCATAAAAATTCTTAACTACAGCAAACATTAAATAACGTGAAAACGTAAAAGAAAACTCATATCGGCTATTATTCCATGTTTTCAAAAATTCTTTATACTGGTCCTCGTCACATCTGTGCCGTTAGGACTAAGAGGAAAAAAACCAACACTACACTATACTACACTTTTTTCACTACGGTAGTGGCCTTGTAGTGACTTTTTCGCGGTCACGCGGATGTAGTGGATTCATGGTGGATGTGCAGTGAATGTGTAGTGAGATGTAGTGGAAGCGTGGGTGTGTGTAGAGAGATGTAGTGTAGATATGCCATCGGTCAACAAAATCTTAATCGGCACCGGCTGATCACCGGTGACCGGCGAACATGTGTAGACTGGATCAGACCGACCATTTTTTAAAAAGTAGGACCGGTAAGTGACTGGTGTGTTTTGCTTTCTGTCCGATGTAAATATGCTTTTTGCTGTCATATTTTCTAGTTATAAGCCAAGTCGACCTAGTCTGGTCTATCAGTTTGACCAGAACCGGTCAATTCGACCAGTTGATAAGTCTCAGCCTGACCGTGTAGTGACGTGTTGTTTTTTCCCCTTGTGTTAGACTGTTGGTACCAGTTCTGTATCTAAACAGTCAAAGGAGAACGCTCGTGAAGGTCAGTTTTTTCGACGTTCTTACTCTAAAAAACTTTTAGAACCAAAACATTCAGAAAAAATATAAAAAGTTATTGTATTTATGGGAAAAGATATATGAAATTTCATAGCCTAATTTTGTTTTCACATGACATGTAAAAATTACAAAAATACATTCACCTAGAATAATTAGTTTTACATTCAAAAATCATCGTTTAGATCTTAATAGAACATCTATAATATTATATTTCTTTTCTTCTAGTTTCCAGCTGAATCTCTTCTGAGCCTTCTGAAACCAATGAATAAATATCTTCAACTCGTGTATTTAAATCACTAAGTTCGGTTTGATCTTTATCCATGATCACTAATTCTGTTTGTGTATCTTTAATATGAAATTTCTCTAAAGGTTGTTGATATAATTGTAATGCTGTTGTATCCAAATGACAAGGTAATTTAATTGATTTCATTTCATATCTAATTAAACAATTCATTCTGGCTGTACAAACTAATTGAAATATAAATTCTTTAGCATCGTCATCAATTTGTTCTAAACTTAATGTGGCGTCCATTTCCGATCCATCATATTCTAATGCATAAAATTCCACATTTTCTTTAAATAATAGACAACTTATTTGACATAAACGTTCACATGTGATTGAGTGTGAACAATTAAATTGAATGCATT